TGGAGATGGGATGGAGATGGGATGGAGATGGGATGGAGATGGGATGGGTTTGGGGATGGATTGTGAAAGGAGAGGGGATGGGGAAGGGATGGAGGAGGGTGGTGAGGGGAATGGGGATGAGGTGTGGTGGAAGAGACGTGATGGAGGGTTTGGAGACAGATGGAGAAGACATGGAGAGGGAATGGAATGGAGATGGAGAAAAGATAGAGTGGGTGTGGAGAGGGGATGGAGGAGGAATGGAGGTGGGCTGGAGGGGAGATGGAAAGAGGATGAAGATACATCAGGGATGCAGCAGGGAAGATGCAGGGATGCAGCCTCCATCTCCAAATGCAGTAGCTGCGTTGGTGCTGGCAGTAATGCGGTGCTGGCTGTTCCCCAGCTCCGTTCCTGCTGCGTCTGGCTGGGGGCCCTGGGCGCTGTGCAGGGCGCGTGGAGCTGCTGCATGCTGGGAGCTGGGGCACGGTCTGTGATGATGGCTGGGGCCTGCTGGATGCGGCTGTGGTCTGCAGGCAGCTGGGCTGTGGGGCCGCACGCAAAGCCCTCCGCAGCGCCCACTTTGGCCCTGGCATTGGCCCCATATGGCTGGATGATGTGAAGTGCAGTGGGACAGAGGCTGCACTGTGGCACTGCCCAGCTGGGCCTTGGGGCAGGCACAACTGTGACCACCAAGAGGACGCCGCTGTCATCTGCACAGGTAAGGTGTACCTGGTAAAGGGCAGAGATCCTATATCCTGTACCCTGTCACTTCTGTGGGCATAGACTACACGGTGCATGCCTCTTCCTGCTGGGGTCCCTTCCAGAGCTCCCAAAAACATGTCCCCAAGGGATGTCCCAGCCTCTTGGGTGCCTCTGGGGCTGGACACTGTCCCCGAGAATCGCCCTGGTGAGGGGAAAGGGAGGACTCCGACAAATAGAAGGGTTGTGGGAAGGGGACTGAATTTTTCCTCACTGCTTTCAGGGCCAGAAGACTTGTCACCTGTGGCGAGCTCCCCATCTCCCCCAGGATGGGGTCCAGCCAGTACCATTCCTCGACGTCCTCTAGGACAGATTCTGACCACAATCATTCCCATGCATCCCCAGAGACAGGATCCAACTGTGAGTGTCACTAGAACCACTGCAAGAGCCACAGGACAGGATCCACACACCAGTGTCCCCAGCACTACCTCACGATCCTCAGGAGAGGATCCTACCACCAGTGTCTCCAGCACCATGACACGATCTGCAGGACAGGGTCGAGTCAGTGCCACCTCAACCAAAGCAGGGCGAGATCCCATCCGTATCATCAGGATCACCCGACTCAAAGCAGAACAGGATCCAGCTGGCATCATCCAGAGCACCAAGCCCAAGGCAGTTGGCGTCACCAGGCTGAAGGCAGGACGGGAGACTGGTGGCCCCACCAGGTCCAAAGTGGGATGGGATCCAGCTGGCACCAACAGGTCCAAGGTGGGACGGGATTCAGTTGGCATCAACAAGACCAAACTGGGACTGGATCTGGTTGGCACCAACAGGTCCAAGGTGGGACGGGATTCTGTTAGCATCAACAAGACCAAAGTGAGATTGGATCCAGCTGGTACCAACAGGTCCAGGGCAGGACAGGATTCTGTTGGCATCAACAAGACCAAAGTGAGATTGGATCCAGCTGGTACCAACAGGTCAAAGGTGGGACGGGATTCTGTTGGCATCAACAAAATCAAAGCAGGACAGCATCTGGTGGGCATCAACAAGACCAAAGCAGGACGGGATCCAGCTGGCAGTAATAGGTCCAAGACAGGATGGGATCCAGCTGGCACCGTCCACATCACTCGACCCAAAGTGGGACGGGATCCCCTTGGTACCGTGTGGATTGCCCATCCCAAAGCAGAGCGGGTTGTTGTGGGAGCCAACCAGAGTACCAGGCGTTGGGTTTTGGTGGGGACCACACCAGGCACCAAGCCTCAAGCAGGACAGGTTCCGGTTGGTTCCACCAGGAGCACCCAGGGGCTGGCAGGATGGGATGCTGTTAGTGCTACCCAACGCAATATGGGACAGGAGACTGCTGGTGTCACACAGAGCACCAGGTCCAATGCAGAGCAGGACTTAGCCCTTACCACGAGGCTCCAGGCAAGTGCTGCCATACGGAGTAACCACAGCCTGGGAGAGCCAGGTCCAGGGGATCCCATGGGGAGCACACTTCCTGTAGTAGTAGCAGCAGATCCAGAAGGTACCACAAAGAGTGAAGCTCCTACAGGAGAACCAAGTCTGGAAGGGACCTCTTGGGTTTCACATCCCTCAGCAGAACTGGGTTCTGAAGGTCCCGTAAGGAGCACTCAACATACAGCAGAACTAGGTCCTGAACGCACCATGTGGAACATATATCCCACAGCAGAGCCAGCTCCAGAAGGTACCATGAAAAGCACAGATCCTATGACAGAACTGAGTCCAGAAGGTACTGTGAGCATGCATCCTCTAACAGAACTGGACCCAGATGGTAACATGGGAGGTGCACATACTTCAGTAGAACCAGACCCTAGAGGTGGCATGAATAACACAGGTCCTACAGCAGGACTGAATCCAGATGGTATCACGGGGAGCACATATCCCACAGCAGAACTAGGTCCAGATCGTACCATGGGGAGCACACATCCTGCAACAGAACCAGGTCCAGAAGGTACTGTGGGGAGCACAGGTCCTACAGCAGGACTGGTTCCAGATGGTATCATGGGGAGCACATATCCCACAACAGAACTAGGTCCAGATCGTACCATGGGGAGCACACATCCTGCAACAGAACCAGGTCCAAGAGGTACCATGAGGAGCACAGGTCCTACAGCAGAATCAGTTCTAGAAGGGACAACAGCAGAACTGGGTCCAGATGTTACCATGAGGAGTACAAGTCCTGCAGCAGAACTGGATCCAGATGTTACCATGAGGAGCACAAGTCCTGCAGCAGAACTTGATCCAGAAAATACTGTGTGGACCACACATCTTCCAGAAGAGCTGGGTCCAGATGTTACCACGAGGAGTGCACATCCTGCAGCAGAACTGGGTCCAGATGTTACCGCGAGGAGTGCACATCCTGCCACAGAACTGGGTCCAGATGTTACCATGAGGAGCTCAAGTCCTGCAGCAGAACTGGGTCCAGATGTTACCACGAGGAGTGCACATCCCGCAGCAGAACTGGGTCCAGATGTTACCATGAGGAGCACAAGTCCTGCAGCAGAACTGGGTCCAGATGTTACCATGAGGAGCTCAAGTCCTGCAGCAGAACTGGGTCCAGATGTTACCATGAGGAGCAGACATCCTGCAGCAGAACTGGGTCCAGATGTTACCATGAGAAGCAGACATCCTGCCACAGAACTGGGTCCAGATGTTACCATGAGAAGCAGACATCCTGCAGCAGAACTTGGTCCAGATGTTACCATGAGAAGCAGACATCCTGCAGCAGAACTGGGTCCAGATGTTACCATGAGGAGCACAAGTCCTGCAGCAGAACTGGGTCCAGATGTTACCATGAGGAGCAGACATCCTGCAGCAGAACTGGATCCAGAAAGTACTGTATGGACCAGACATCTTCCAGAAGAACTGGATCCAGATGGTACTATGCAGAGTGCACATTCTTCAGCAGAATTGAGCTTGGGTGTTAGCATATGGAGTGCATATCCCACAGCAGGTATTTCTACCTGGAGCACACGTTCTGCACCCAAATCTGATGCAGAAGGTACTGCATGGGACGCTCATTCTTCAGCTGATTTTGATCTAGATGGTACCGTGAGAAGCAAACATCCTTCAGCAGAAAAAAATCTCAAAGGCACAATGGAGAGTAAATATATTGCAGCAGAAACAAGTCGAAGAGATCCCATGTGGAGGACTCATCCCACAGAAGAACTAGCATCAGATGGAATCAGGAGGAGAACACTTCCCACAGCAGAATCAGGTTCAGACTACTATATAGGGCTGCAAGATCTTGAAAGTAATGTTAAGGAAAAGAACAAAGTGTTGGAGGGCTGGGGTGGATGGACAGCAAGAAGACTGCGTGGTTGGGCAGAAGGGGGAAGGAGAGTTTGAAATGACAGAAAAGGGGAAGGAAGAAAGAATAGAAAGTTTGGAGGGGGGTGACTGAGTGGATAGAAAGATATCAAGGAACAATAAATGGGGGAATGGATGGATGGATGGATGGATGGATGGATGGATGGATGGATGGATGGATGGATGGATGGATGGACGGGTGGATGGATGAAGTGGCAACAATAGATTAGGAGGAGGAGGAAGGCCAAAGCAATGGGCTGGCTGTAGGTGGAAGTGTTTGAGAAGGAGAGGAGAAGCGGAAGGGGTGCAGGAGAGGAAGGAGGGGCAATGGATGGCTGAGGAGTGCTGGGGGGGATTTCATGGGCTGTGTCTCCTCCCCAGGTGCTGGTCCAATGGGAATCTCTGCTCTGCCCACTAGAGTTTCATCACCCTCTCCATCTCTGGGCTTCACCCAGGGGCTGGCTGTCTCTCCTGCCATTGCTGTTCAACTGAGTCCAGGCTCTGGCACCCACTTGCAGCACCTCACAGAGGCCCCCAGTACCCAGAGACCCTCAGAACCTACCCAGTACCCTGAGATCCCCAACACCCAGGGACACCCAGCATCCATCCAACATCCTCCAGAGAGCCCCACTGCCTCGATAGAGCTTGTGCTCTCCCAGCATCCCTCTGCAGAGCCCTCTGGTTTCTGGACACCCCCAGACCTCTTTATCCAGACACCATCAAGGAACTCCAGCCCTCAGAGCCCCCCAGTACTCACTGTGCACCCCATAGATCCCACCAGCCCTTACATGAATGCTGCCAATTTCAAGCACATCATGGATATCCCCAGACCCCAGAGCCTCCCAGCACCCTCTGAGGACTCTGTTAAAACCCTCAGTACCCAGAAACCCCCAGTATCTGCCCAGCATCCCACAGAGACCCTCAGCTCCAAGAGTCCCTCAGCACTCTCCCAATATCTATCAGAGATCTTTAGCACACAGGTCCCCCCAGCACCCACCCAACACCCCATGGAGACCTCTGATAGTCAGCCCCCTGTAGCACCCACTGAACAATCCACTGAGATCTTCAGCACCCGGAGGCCCCCTGCGTTGCCCCAGCACTCCACAGAGCCCCCCAGCACCCAGAGGCCCCCATCAACACAACACCCTATGAATACCTTTGACACCCAGAACCCTCCAGCATCCCTTAAGCATCCCATGAAGTTGCTCAGCACTCAGACCTCCCCCATATCCCACCAACACCCCAAAGAGCCCCGCAGCACCCAGACACCCCCAGGATCCTTTAAGCACCTCACAGATCCCCCCAGCACCCAGATTCCCTCAGCACCTGTCCAGCATCCACTGGAGACTTTCAGCACTCAGACTCCCCAAGCACCCCTCCGGCACCCCGTGAAGTTTTTCAACACCCAGACCCCCCCAGTACCCACAGAGACCCTCCGCACCCATTCTGCAAGCTCTGTACTGCCTGGACCCCCATGTGCAGGTAGGTCTTGGGGTTGTGGGTGAGGCTTGGACCCATGAGATGCAGGGCTTGCACATGCTGAGACCACTGGCTTGGAGAGAGGAGGGATGGGTGCTGGGGGGGTCCCTTGCTCTGAGAGTGGTTGCCCTGGCGGAGCAAACATACGCACACAGAGGATTTAGGGGGTCTCTGCTTCTCGCCCCACAGGTCCAGCCCAACCAGCACCACCGGTGCCAACACTCTCTGCACTATGGGATCGGGGGGGATCCTGTGTGGCCCCTGCCCTGAGGGCACTGCTGTGGGAGGTGCGGGAGCTGCGGGGGCAACTGCGGGCCCTGGCCCGCAACCAGCGGCGGGGAGCTCAGCGCCTGGAGGCCGTCACCCGCCGCCTGGGCAGGCTGGCTGCTGTGGGGCAGCACATCCTGGAGGACCCCCCCAGGCTGTAC